CACAGATCTGCACAGAAGTCAGGTAAGCAGATTGTCTTGGCACACAGAGCATCTGTCCTTCCACTCCTGGGCATCTCCATGTAGAACAGAAGCATGCAACACGCCGAGCCTGTCCTTAGAAGCCGGGCTCTCTCCCTCGAGAAGTAACCGATGTCCATTTATCCTAACACAAGCATCTTGCAAATCTTTTTCTTTCGTGCTTGATCATCAGGGAATAAACACCAGCGTCCTTCACCCATTTGTATACCACCTTTCTCCCCGCTGAAGGGAATGAAGGTGGTTTACAACATTGAAAAGACATATAAAATACAAGCAAAGCATTAAAAAGCGATTACACAAAGTGTTGAAATCTATAAAGCATGAACAAAACATATAATCAAATTATTAAAATGCTCTAACTACGAGCTGCCGTCCTAGCTGCATGTCTTATTCCTCAGCCGCATGGAGGGCGAGTGCAGTAACGGTAAGAAATCTGCTTCTCCCATAATGTGGGATTTGGCTCTTGGCACTCATATCAGAGGCAGTCGACCAGCTTAATTTGAGCTGGTGTCCTCCAGAAGTGTGCAGGTGGAGGCATGAGCCAGGCCTGGGAATATGGGAGTTGAAAATCCATACATCCGGGGGTGGGGACGGCAGGCATCGATATAGGTGGAGGAGGCTGCCCTACCCTCTGCTTTAATGTCAACCTGCGCCTTGCCGCCGATGTCTCAGCAGAACAAGATCTCATTTTCCTCACCTGCCGTCACGTGACCGATGCAAACTGCCGTGGTAGCTGCTGACTTTGCTATGGACGCTGCCAGCCTTGCTTCGCTGGTCATCCATCATGGCCAGCTGAGTTGAAGAGGCATGAGTCGAGGTCCCCTGGGTGGAGGTTCCTCTGGATTTGCGGACGATGGGAGTGTTGGGGTCTCTCAAGAGCGACTGGGCAAAATCGGGTTCCTGAAGCACTTGCCGGCTCTCATTCACAACTCTACAGAACAAAACAAGTCATTTCTGGTTATTTGAACCACAGGAAAGATAGACGGTAACAAACAGGGTACAGAGAAGGTTCCGCTGATGACCCACTGTGAACTGGGGCTGCCTATTTTTATTCTATGTATAACACAGAATCATAGAATAACAGAGTTGAGAGGGGGCCCATGAGGCCATTGAGTCCAACCCCCCCCTTCTCAGTGCATGAATTCAAATCAAAGCAAATCTGATGGATAATTGTCCAGTTTTCTCTTGAAGGCCTCCAATGCTGGAGCGTTTTATCACCTCCCAAGGTCATTGTTGTGCTGCTCTAAGAGTTAAGAAGCTTTTCCTGATATTCAGCCTAAATCTGGCTTTTTGTAGCTTGAGCCCATTCTTACATGTCCTGCATTCTGGGATGATTGAGAACAGATCCTGCCCTTTCTCTCTATGACTACCTTTCAAGTATTTGAAAAGTGCAATCATATCTCCCCTCAGTCTTCTTTTTTCAAGGCTAACATCCACACCAAAGCTGGTTAAAGAAATTTTCGGCCATTATTAGACTGTGAGGGGAGACACTGGCCTTCTCCAGGTAGCCTTTTAAATATGAATTGACTGAGCACTCTTTAGTCAGGCATCTGTAATGCAAATTTTGGGCACAACCTAGGTTTCCTGTCTGTAAGGTCCAAAAAAAAATGGTACAACCAACGAGACAGAAACCCTGAAATATCGCTATCACAGTTGACAGATGGATATGAATGTCTAGTGAGCCTCGTGGCACAGTGGTTAAATCACTGTACTGCAGCTAAAACTGTGCTCACGACCTGGGGTTCAAATCCCAGGTAGCCGGCTCAAGGTTGACTCAGCCTTCTATCCTTCCGAGGTCGGTGGGGGGGCAATGTATAGCCTGCATAATTAAATTGTAAACCGCCCAGAGAGTGCTTGAAGTGCTATGGGGCGGTATATAAGCAGCACGCTTTGCTTTTCCCATTATGAGTCAGCTCGGATGTTAAAATCATCAGGAGAGGCCTTGCTCTCAGTTCCACTACCTTCAGAGGTGCATTTGGTGGGGATATGGGAGAAGGGCTTCTCTGTGGCTGCTCCCAGACTCTGGAACTCCCTCCCACTGGAGGCCAGCCTGGCCCCATCTTTGCTGTCCTTCCACAAGCACGCCAAGACCTTTCTCTGCAGGCAGGCTCTTCTTTAGTGATGGACCATCTGGGAGACGTTTTAAAATGAGATCGTTTGCATTTTATTACTTCTAAATCTGTTTTAGTATTGCTTTGCCAAACATTCCTAAGATAATGTTATTAATTTTTTAACTGAAATAATATTAGCTGTGGGTCCGATGGCAATTTTATATATATTTTAATTGTATTTTAATTGCTACATAACTTTATTGTATTTTAAATGCTGTAAGCC